TGTATGCAGTAAATAAAATCCAGTTTCAATGAATTTCATCCATTCTATATTCATTAGCCCAGATCCTGGCCCATCTGCACAACTCCAGCAGGAATGATGGCTGGAGTGGTGAGTGCATGCTGGCACTGACAGCCCATCTCATTCTCCTGTGGGACTGGTCTCCTACAGAATATCAGAGCCCAGTAGCCTCCATCCCACACTCATGTGGCTGGGACCAGCAGAGTGCATGTGCGTGTGTAAAAATTCAGGGAAAATAATAAGAACTAAGAATTTTCCTAACCAAGGATTATGAAACATTCTCATGAACAAAGATCAAAGGGTTATCATTTTCTGTCTTCAATTCAATGTATTATGTGATTACAAAGAGAGACTGAATAAAAATATCATTTTAATGTGAAAAATGATACAAGCATGTAAAGAACATATCAAGTGAAGATAATCAGTTTCTTTCAGTACACAACGTCCTCTAATTTTGAAATGTGTGTGTTTAATATTTAATTGCTCAGCCTGTACTATAAACCACTGAACCAATAAATTAGTCACATGTGCAGTATTGCAAGTACCTTTCTGAAGTCCAATTATGTCAGTGGTTCCCCTTCCAATTAATTTGGATAGTTACTTTCTTAAAAGTTGAGGCACTTTATGCAGGATTTCCCTTCTGTAAACCCATGTTAAATATTTAAACCATAAAACAGTAAAGATTGTGCAGAAGTATGAATAGTGCTGAACTCAAGTGTTAACTGAAGCACAAGACAAAGCACAGTCAGGGTCTGAACTGGACGCCCTTACTCATGCGAGTTATCGTACTTGACCTCAGCTAGACCACTCATATAAAGATTACTCATGTGAGTAAGCATTGCAAGATTATTCCCTTATCATTCCAGCAAATTACTGTAATTATAAAATTGTTTTCTTCTTAAAAATGTGATCATTAACTAAAAATGAACTAAAATTTATTTCTTTTAAAAAAGATGTTTACACCAGGTAACAGACTCTAAGGGTGGGCGGAGGCAATTATTTTAGCCACTACTCTTTTTTAATTTATTTTTTTAAGTGCCCACTATTTTCCCCTTTTTTTGCATGATGTTGCCTTTCAACTTTCTCCCTCTCCCTCATCTCACTCCTTGATGTTAGGACCTTTCCTTTAACTGAAACACGGGTGAGAGGCTCTCTCTTCAACACTGCCCCATCCCTTGTCTGACTATAATAGGAAAACAAAGCAGGAAGCATTAAGCATCTCCCAGTTGTATTTTCCAATAGAAAACTAAAGTACTGCAAACAGATGATTGGGCCACAGGAGGTGCATTGTGGGATCTATGGTGACAGAAGGTCTTTGAAATTCAAATATAGCAGTTTTGCTTTGAAATGGTGCCACTGGTGTAGCTCTCCTAGCATTGCCCTGCAGCCCAACCAGCTGCTTTAGTTTAATCATTTTACAATGATACATTAAAAATTCAACCGGAAGCAAGTGGGGCCCCGCCCACATAAGTATTTTCTATGCCAAGTGAAAAAGAGGGCATGCTGCACTGGCAAATCCCACAGACTGGCTTCAGCTATTTTAAACTGGAACATTTTCCTTTTAGAAGCTGCAGAATTCGTAAGTATAGCACTCTGTCACTTGGCTCCATTTATCTCCCGCACTCCCTCAGATGCCGTCATTAGTTACACTTTGCACTGCAGTAGTCAGCTAAACTCCCAGTTAAATATTTGCAACTGCTAAGGGAAGAAGAATGGTGGAGGGGGGGACAGAACCCTGCTAAGGAGTGAGAGAGATCTGGAACTTCCAAAGATATCAGTGACTCATCAGTATGCAATAGAGGTGAGAGGTGGATTCTGATTACCAGAGGAGGAAGGCTGGAATAATCAAGAAGGATAGAAGAGAGAGTTGAACAGAGAGTGGAGTCTGCAGTGGGAGGGGCTAGATGAACTGTAAGGGCTGACAGGACAAAAACATCTACATAAAAATAGGGCAGGAAAGGAAATGAAACAGCAGGAGAAAGTAAAGAAAGAAAATTATGAAAAGGGTATAAAAATTTATTTGTTATTTTATTAGCTATTAACCTATTTGAGTGTATCCAGCACACTTATGAATGCTTTGAGATTTACTATTTAACCTCAAGGCTATGTGACTGAGTTAGCCATCGTGACCCAGCATTTTAAAACCTATGTTACAATCTTAATCAAATCATATTTATCACTCACCTTCCCTGGTGAGTGCTTCTATCTTCTCCCCTGAAGATGTCTGGCTTACAGCATTATCCCTCAACTTCTCCTGATATTCTCCTTTTAAGTCACATTATTAGCTGTTTCCCCATACCTGCTGTCTGTCTTCATTTTCCAAGAGGTTTTACACCTATCAGGTAAGGTTTTACTTCTCTCTTTTGCAACTTCCTGGGATGGACTCTGACTCCTGGAAGTCATGCTGTCTCTTTAACTGATCTTTACTTGAACCACTTCTTCCTTTTTTTTAACTTCTTTGGCAATTTCCCTTTCATACTACACTTTCAAATCTTTAAAGTGCCAGCACAAAATGGCAGAATTTTAGAATACTATCATCATTTCTGACAAAGCAGCTGGTTAGGTTGTCTGGCTTTTAAAAAAATATATATGGAAATATACCTATCTCATAGAACTGGAGGGGACCCCTAAAGGTCATTGAGTCCAGCCCCCGCCTTCACTAGCAGGACCAAGTACTGATTTTTGCCCCAGATCCCTAAGTGGCCCCCTCAAAGATTAAACTCACAACCCTGGGTTTAGCCGGCCAATGCTCAAACCACTGAGCTATCCCTCCCCCCTTTGTCTTAAGTTTTACGTTGGGAAAGATGAGGGATAAGGGTGAAGGACCAGCAGTGATTATATGATATAATATAAGCTGAATACAGTAACTCCTCACTTAAAGTCGTCCCGCTTAACGTTGTTTCGTTGTTAAGTTGCTGATCAATTAGGGAACATGCTCGTTTAAAGTTGTGAAATGCTCCCTTCTAATGTCGTTTGGCAGCTGCCTGTTTTGTCAACTGCTTGCAGGAAGAGCAGCCAGTTGCAGCTAGCTGGTGGGGGCTTGGAACCAGGGTGGACCTGCAGCTCTCCCTATCAGCTCCCCCCTCCCCTAAGTTCCCTGTGCAGCAGCTGCCTGCAGTTCAGCTGTGTCCCTCCCCCCACTGCCATGTGCTGCTCCGGCCCTCTTCCTTGTAGCTTCTCCCCAAGACTCCTGCTTGCTGCATGGGGGGAGGGGGGAGAGGAGGGCTAATGTCAGGGTGTCTCCCCCTCCCTCCTGCACCCTGCTTAACCCATCTTCCATAGAGGGGGGGGGGGGGGG